AGCAAAATGAGAAAGATGGTTCCAACAATGCAGCCTTACCAGAAGGTGTCGCATTGCCAATTTGCTCAACTGAGCAGTTTCATGTTGTTGAGCAAAGGATGGATAACGAGGCAACTGTAAAAAAATTGGTAAGCCTGAATTTTCATTAGTTGTGTGATATCTGTTATACTAGACACATGTTCAGTGAAATTTTCTTAAATCGAGAAATGTAAAAAATAAACATTATACAAAGACCAGTTTAGATGTACTTCTGATTTTAGCAACTTAAACTTGGTTTTCAGAAAGGGATCATTGTCTGGTCTGCAATAAATATTTATTTTTTTATATTATGCAATTTTTCAGGAAAAAGGGGACATGTGTCATGTCTACTTTGCAATTCTTAATTAAATAGTTCTTTTGGTGTGACTGAACTGTTACAGTATCATATCAAAACAGCATAAATAGGAAAGAAATATGTTTCATGAAGAAAAAAAAAAGAAAAATGTAATCAACCCTTCTATGTTAAAAACAGTTCATTTGATGTATCGCGGAACCATTGAACTCTGTCAATTATATTTTTTATTAGAAGTGCTTAGGTATTCACACTTAAGTTAAAGTACATGTATCTCGCCAAATGAAGGTGTTATTTTATTTGTTCAAATTAACATGTCCGCAAAATAAAAGCATACAGAAATGAAGTCTTTATCATGTTCATGATATTGGATTGAAAATATAAGTTAACCTATGATAAATGCATTCCAAATCGCTAAATTTACTTAACTGGAAGGGTTCAGTACAAGAAACTGAAAAGCGTACAAACTTATTCACTGATTAAGATATAAATACATTATTTTTTTTCTTGTGGTAAAAGTTTGAAAAATTTCATTCACTTATTTAAGCTACTTTTTTTTCTGTAGGCCAATTTGTAAATGTTTTAGTTATTATCTTATCTTTCTCTTTCCGACTACACATCTTGGCACCATTGGAGGAGACAACGTTGCTGTCTGCACACGCAGAATAATGAAATGTGTCCTGTCTCATGAACTTGCCTTTACATTCAGCTGGAAAGGGCAGGGGAATAAGACAGGATGTTCATCAGTAATTCAAAGTAAGCTTTGTTTCTTTAACATGTTTGAACAAATATTAAATTTCTGATTACAAATGCCAAGATATTACTTTGGTCAAAAGTATGAATGTAGTAGAGTATTTTTTTATGATGCATACTGCTGATAACTCAATTCACATAGCAGCTGTCTAATGGCTCATTGATTTTGATGTATAATCAACCATTTCTAAAACAATACAACTCATTTTAGATTTCATTTTGATTTTTTACTCATTCAAGTCTATAATATTTATTGAAATGTGACTGAAGCATGGTGTCCTATGGTCATGTATTCTTGTTTACATTTTTTTCAAAATTTTTGTATTGTAGTTACTGTTAGAAAAAACAGATTAACTGCAACATCAGTGACAAAGCATAATCATTCGAGACTGGCTAAGATATGCAAAAGATAGAGAGGGAGGCAGGAAACCAAGGGTAGCAGAGGGAAAAGGATGCTGAAAATATAACAGCTGCTGCAGAAAGAGCTAGATGAATCTGTGCTTTAACAACATTATTATGTTAATCAAAGAAAACATTGATATGTAATTTTTGTTCATTTTACTTCAATAATGTTTTAAAAATAATAAACATCACAGTACAGTTTTAATTCTTTTCCTGTTTCAACTCTTGTTAAGTCAATAAATGACTGATTGATTTTTGGGTGTTTAATGTCAATTTCAGCGTTCCCTGCTATATTTATTTTATTTCATTGTTGTGTCCAATCATAGTCGGTGTGTATAAAGACATTAGATGTAGTTCGCTGAAAAAAACATTACTGCGCACGTCTTTCAAATAGACAACTTTCGTCAGTTTTCTTTCACTTTTACAGGTAAATTTTTTCTCTGATGCTGATAGTCAAAGCCAGCCAATATTCAGCCAAGACTCGGAGGTTTCTGTCTGTGGCATTCGAAAACTTGAGCAGCTTAATGCTTAAGACAACACCTTTAAGCACTTCCTGTGAAAAAAAACAAGAAAAAGTGTGTTTCCAAAGTTTTGGAGTGCCTTACTGCCATTTGCAGTACAATATGCCCAGATGAAGGGGAAGAATTAGAAAATATAGTTTTACAAGCAACACAGACTCTTCTAAATGAAAATGTAAAAATTTAAACTGTTAATATGGCAGTTTAACATGATTCATTAAAATCTTTAGTTAAAACAATTGTCCCTGAATACAGAACAAATCAAATGGAAATTAGCCTCCTAAAAGCGACCTATAATTGCTTACATTACTATATTTGAAATTTGGTGGATATGTCTCATTGGCAATCATACCACACGTCCTTATTAGTCTCCTAATGACAAAGGGGACTTTAGGTCCGTTCGTCCATCCGTCCCATAAATATTGTTCTTTCTCAGGAACTACAATACAAGGATTGATTGATTGATTGTTGGTTGCTTAACGTCCAGTGGCAAATATTTCATGCATATTCAGGACGAGAACAAATTCACAATAAATACAATAGGTAGGTTCTGTAATAGGTGCTTCCGGGATTAAGTTCGGAGAAATTTAGACTGCCACGGGAAATGAGGGTATATTGGATAGGGACAGAAATTTAGCCTTGCAACAGGTCACCTACGGACCCCTCAAAGAGTTGTTGCAAGGGTTCTTAACGTGCAAAGAGCGTGGCACTCTCTTTACACGAGGCATCGGATTTAACGTCCCCATTCTGACCGCACGTGGCTGCAAATTTGTACATCCCGCACAGCCAAACGGACGCCCCACTTTAGCAAGGGTTTTACTGCCGGTCGGAGGAAGACCAATGGTGACCATACTTCTATTCCCCAGTCACCCTTGGGGGTACAATACAAGGAATTCTGAAATTTGGTTTCAGGGTTTACATAAGTCACCTATACCGTGTGATGCGTTTTCATATTCATCACTAAACAACTTCCTGTTTACTGTAGACTTTTAGCGGGTGGGGGTATCATTTGTGAGCAGTAGCTCACAGATTCACTTGTTTTGTAATAATTTGATTGAGAAATGTTTTCATGGACATTATTTCATAGTATACATATTGTCCTCCACAGATTATTGTCCGTCGGACAAAATTTCATAAACATTTATGATTGTTTTTTTAACATAAATTTATAATTAATTGATTGATTGATGGTTGCTTAACGTCCAGTGGCAAATATTTCATGCATATTCAGGACGAGAACAAATTAACAATAAATACAATAGGTAGGTTCTGTAATAGGGGCGTCCGGGGTTGAGGTCGGCGAAATTTAGACTGCCACGGGAAATGAGGGAATATTGGATAGGGACAGAAATTTAGCCGTACAACAGGTCACCTACGGACCCCTCAAAGAATTGTTACAAGGCTTCTTAACGTGCAAAGAGCGTGGCACTCTCTTTACACGAGGCATCGTATTTAACGTCCCCATTCTGACCGGACGTGGCTGCAAGTTTGTACATCCCGCACAGCCAAACGGACGCCCCACTTTAGCAAGGGTTTTACTGCCGGTTGGAGGAAGACCAATGGTGACCATACTTCTATTCCCCAGTCACCCTTTGGGGGAATTTATAATTGAACTCTTAAAATATGTTCTATTATATTGTATTGTATTACATTGTGTTTAAAATGTATAATTGTTTGTTTGTATTGCTTGACCTTATGGGTGTAATTTTTGCAATAAAGATTATTTATAAAATATTGTCCGTGGACAGAATTTCAAAGTGAAATATTGTCCAGAAGGAGGTGACAAAATTTCATGGACTAGGACACTATTTTATAATAAAATATTGTCCTGGACAGTATATCATTAAGAAATAGTGTCCGCCGACAATATTGTACATGTAGTTTTGTCCGATGAACAATACATCATGGGGATATATATTTTATTTTTAACATTTAAAGGTTATTTAGAGTATCTTTCAAGAATATAATTGCTTAAATTTCATTGTCGGCTATAGAGAAACTTCAGCGGGGTGTTTAACGACAACTCAAATGGCTTCGGTCGTACTATCAACGACAAAATTATTTTACATTCACCTGTGCGACGTCACTAGACTTTGCTGTATTACTTCTTTTTGGGGTCAACAAGGCTTCAATACTGAAGAATACATGTTGTAGCGCATGCGTGATTGACAAAAATTTATATAAATTCAGGTTGGTGTTGGAAGGGATAGCATAGGAGTAGATATGAATATTCATGTTCATTCGGAAGTTCTCTGTGCAGAAGTAAATATGGGTCGTTCTAAAACAAGTAAACACAATAGAAAAACGCACGCGCACGTGCACGTGGTGACATCTATGCGAAGAAAGACTATACTACTTATGATTACAACGATTATTTTTTAGCATGAGTTAACAAAGCAAATAACATTTTAAATAAAGATTCTAACTGGTACGATGGTAAGGTAAGTTACGTTAGACGTTAACTAAGTAGTATAATTGTACGGACTTTATTTATATTAGATCAGCAGAAATTATTATGATCTCCAAATGTTTCCAAATATCAATGCAATGTACAGTCATAGGACAAAAGTGAGTTCCCACACAAAAAATGTCCTATCATTTCAACTAAAATTAATATTTTTCAAAAAAATATTACCAAATAACTTTATGACCGATTTTTATAAAATAGATAGGATACCATAAGATGCTGAAATGTCTGAAGTTTCATTGTTTATTTTGCCATAATTTTCATGAGGTTCGTTTTCATTATCTGATGGGTTAAACACAAATGCAAATTTTTACGATTTTAATTTGGTTAGAAAACATAGCAAACTTTTCAAGAAATATTTTTCATTATGTTCACCTTGTCAGAAAATTAAAATAAGTACGAATAATATCATGACCAAATAAACAATAAAACTTTAAACATTTCTACATCCTATGGTATTTATTTGTTATAAATCAGTCATGTAGTTACTTGGTAATATTTTTTGGAAAAATATTGATTTTAGTTTAAAAATATAGGACATTTTTTGAGTGGGAACTCATTTTTGTCCAATGACTGTACATACAAGTTTACAAATGTTCTAATAACATCACCTAAAACCAAACCTTGACAGAAAGTTAACAATTGGACGTATTGTCTCTTTACTTTTCATCGCTTTTTCAAACTTGTGTTTTCATTTTTCAACACAGGCCGGAAAAATTTCTTACATGTCTTAAATGGTAATAGTCAGCTTGAATCAATGTTACCTTTGCATTATTTTTTAAAAAATTCTTTGTTTGCATGATGGTTTTTGCGTTAACTTACACCATGTACACGAAGATGTATATATTTTGTTTTTCATTTCAGGTTTAAAATTAAATAAAATGTCTACCATAAACTTAAAATATCATCCAGATATTGAATCTGCTTATGCTGCAATTAGAAAGTATGAACTGGAGACCACTTCTAAGTACATATTATACTATAGAGAAGCTGGTTTCAATCAGAAAGGTAACTGTTTTGTCCCCTGCCACACAACAGCAGGAAATATACTTAATATTTGTTAAGCTTTTTTTCCATCCTGTTGAATACAACAATACTCAGATTTACACCTTTACTTATTTGTAATGACTATATATGACAGTTCACAGCAGTTAGAAACATTAAGATATGGCATAGTTATCTTCTTTCCTTTCATCATGTTCATACAACAGGCATGTTCTTGTTGATTTTGTAAATCCATTTAACTACACAATTGTGTGCCCAACAAAAGAGATATTGTGTTAAATTCTTTTATATATTGTGTGCTGGCAATATTGCATGTGCTAACATGTGCAGTTTCTCTTGTAGACTTGGATAATTTGGACAAGAAAAAAATTTGGTGGGATAACCATATTCCCTTCGATGGTATTCCATATTGCATTTTGGGGTCTGAAGTGTTGGACTGTCATCATGGGCCAGACAGACACGTTAATGATAAAAAGAAACTTGTTGCCAAAAAGGTATTTAAAAATTTTCTTTTACCAATAAAAAAAATTTCTTATTTATATCTTGAAATACATTGTACATTTTACAGATTGATGTTTTTAAATACAAACTTATATGTACTTTTTATGTCTTCACTAGTTAATATATTTTATCAGATTTGATTAAAATTAGTTTAATAATACTCCTATCTCTTACATAGGTTTGGTAGATTTTAGGAAGTACATTGTGCAACCTTTTTATCTCATATTTTATTCCAAATTCATTGAAAGTTATATTAGACAAGACTTTTTTGTTACTATAAAATTGAGAATGGAAATGGAGAATGTGTCAAAGAGTCAACAACCCGACCAAAGAGCAGAAAACAGCCCAAGGCCACCAATGGGTCTTCAACACAGCGAGAAAATCTCACACCCAGGGATAGGCTTCAGATGGCCCCTATACAAGAACATGTACTAGTTCAGTAAAAATGGACGTTACACTAAACTCTGAAACATATAAATGAACTAAAATTAAAAAAACATACAAGACTAACAAAGGCCAGAGGCTCCTGACTTTGGACAGGTGCAAACATGCAGCGGGTTAAACATGGATAAATAACAATAGGAAATGAAAAATCATCTCTTTAATTGTAAATTTTGGTATTAAGCTTCCTGTTAAAGATATAGATATCAAGATCCAGGAAAGAGCAGTGTACATTGTTAGTATAATTAGCTTTATTTACAGTCAGTTCAGCAGGATAGATCTCTTTAGTGTACATACTGATAAATGGAGTCAATATTTAGAAATAGTAAATTGTAAAAAACTCATGGTTTCTTCATTTACTTTATAAGATATCACCTTTACAATACACTTGCATGTATGATATAAAAAATCACATACATGACATAGTTCTCCTGAAAACAGTGGGATTATTAATCAGAGGTCGAAATTAGCACTTGTCCGGTGGTCCAAGACCAGTAGAATTTGCGTTGGACCAGTATATTTTGTCAGCTGGTGGTCCTGCGGACCAGTAGAAATTTGCCGATAAAAATCACTTATTGCATTGCAATCTCGGTTTGTTTACAAAAAAATTTACCTGTGAAATCAATTACACGGTACTGGCGGTACTAATTAGTATTACAATGATCAAGCTAATTAATATCTCGGGTAAGCGTCCTTCACAACAACACAAAATGTGGAAATTTTTGGAAGGAGTAAAACCGCTGGACAAAAAAAAATTAAATTAGTGACATTCAAAAGGAAGATCGGAATACAGTTTATGAAATTGACAAAAGGAAATGTGAATATCAAAAATCCTGGGAAAAAGTATGCGAATGGTTAAATTATATAGTCAATCGCAATGTAATGGATTGAATAACCTGTAAAATATTTGCAGTGACAAAGAAAGCATGAAAATAAAAGTAAACATCTATCATTTATATAATTTAGTGTTGGTCAAATGAATATCATTTTTGCAGGACCAGTAGATTTGGAGTCAGACCAGTAAATTGTTCAGTCCACTAGTACGGCTGGCCGGTTCACAAAAAAGGTTAAATTCGATCCCTGGATATAATGGATAAAAGTGTGAAGCCTGTTTTATTCAATTTATACAAGAGACAAATATTTTTAATTCCTTTTTCCAAATTATCTTTAAAAAAAATATGTTATTTATCATTTAAATTTAAATTAGTACCCTCACCATGTTATAGCCTTTTGGTACTTAAGGAGTCAACCAAAATCAATGAATTAAATTTAGTATTTAATTAGTTGTTTTAGTTGAAACAGCTATAATTAATTGTGGTACATGCATGGATGTTGTATTTGCATATTTCAAAAATTTTACAGGATGAGATGGAAGAAGAACATCCATACACCAACAATTCAAAGAAAAGGTTTTTAGTTCAGAGTACCAAGAAGATGGACTGCCAGTCCCAGATTATCCTTAAAGCTATTGTTAAGTTTCCTGACTTTAAGGTAAACTTTTCTTTTTCTCTCTTAAAGTAACTATGTTCCTTAATTTGAAAATACCAAAGTGTTACCAGAAAATAGTTGTATATGTTGCTTAAAATGGTTAATACTCAATTCATGGTATCCTGAACATGGAAAATTATAGTACGAGCATTCATTTTGTACTTAAGACACATATTCTTTTTCTACATCTTCTTTTCTAATACATTGAATTACAGGTGGGGATATAATTAGCACTACGGTAGAGTTCAGTTGTAGTAACTTTGAATAGTACATGTATAGCAATGTTCATTGTCCTATTATGACAAGAAATGTTTTTAGTTAATATTCACTTAAATCAATATTAAAAACTGATCCAATGTTACAGGTTGATGGCCCTGATAGCATTTACAGGAGAAAAAAATGTGCAGCCAACCTTAGAGCGGCCAATTTCAGTCATGTAAAGAAAGACTTGAAGATTGTCTTATTTCTTCCTGATGCCAACTCTCATCAGAATCATCTAATTGGTGAAGTAATGCATACATTTATCATTTTAATACAGTGCATACAAATAGTGTAATAATATTTCAAAAGTTTATAAAGTCACTGTAAATTTAGAAATTAATGTGTACATTTATTAATATGAATCCATGACAACTGACAAAAATGTGAAATATAATTAGAGCAATTACAAACAAAAAAAATTACAGCTGAAATTATGACTGCAGATTTTAATAAAGTATACAAATTTTGCAATAATTTACAGTTCTAAGTACAGTTAATTTGTTTGAGTTCTATTATTTCTTTCCTAAGGTCATTCTTTTTTGTCATATGTTGGTTCAGATGTGCAGTTTCATATTTGATTAAATATTTCATTCTTTATGTGCATATCTGATACAGTTTTACAGATAATTATAATTATTACATTGCTTGCAATGAATTACATTGATTTCCCAGTGAAATAAAAGCCGATAATTTCACATGTGAAATAAACTTGGTTATTTCATTCCTTTGATGTCATACAACTATAGGCGTTGCCAAGAGGTTTTGATGTGGCATCAAAGCAACTATGAATGTGTAGAAAAAGATATAGTTCCTTACATTTTCTAATTTAATTCCAATAAATATCCAATTGTCAATGTATAAATAAAGAGAGTAACTAATCAAAGAATTAAAATATCGAAAACATATTCAATGAGTGACCAAACAACACATTAATTCTTGAATACACTTAGAATTAATGTGTTGTTATGTTCTCATTGAATATTTTTCAATATATTTGAATTCTTCGATTAGTTATTAGATATATATGTTATGACATTCTCCTTTACTGTATACTATTTGATAGTAATTCCTATCCATTTCAGTTTTCAGGATATTCCCAACCACTTGATAGCCTTGTGAAAGAACACATCAGGGAATTGGTTTTTGATGGCGTAAGAAAAGTGTCTGAAATGAAGAGGCACCTGAACATCTTTGTTAAGAGAGAACTTTCTTTGGACATTCCATTAACCAACAGAAGATTTCATCCAAATGAGAGAGACATAAGAAATCATATGTATTTAGCATTAACCAAGACAAGGTAGGATAATAGTCAGTCTTATGGTCATGTGTTTGATTTTAAGTTTATCAGTCCCCTACCGAAAAAGTTGAAGGGGACTTTAGGTTTGCACTCTGTCTGTCTGTCTGTCATAATCAGTTTTCCACACTTGTTTTCTTTGTGCTTGAAGATATTGATTCGATAACTGGTAGTTTTTTAATGACAAGTTACAGATCAAGTACTAATTTTGTTCCAGTGTGATGATTTTGTGCAGAGTTATGGTCCTTTGACGGAAAATTCACTCAAATAATCAGTTTTCACACCTTTTTCATCATGCTTGAAGATTTTGTTATATTCTTTACATCGTGACAAGTTATAGATCTAGTATAGCATTTTGTTCCAGTATAATGAAATTTTAAACAGTAGTTACTAAGAATTGCCATGCAGACTCTCAGAATGCTTGTTTTAACATATTTTTATTCTTATCATTTTTTATTTTTTCATCCTTTTTCTTAATCATTCCAGTATTTTCTATAATTTAACAACTGAATATTGTTGAAGATATGGTTCAAGAATAAAGTCTCAGCCCAAAAGGGGGATACCATTGAAAAAATTGCAGTTTTTACCTTCTGATTAGTTTTACCTTCTTGGAACCAAGAAAACCTCATCAAATATAGGAGTGAGATTAGAATTAGGTAGACTTCCAATTGAAAATTTTATTACAACCCAATCTATTTTATACCTTGCTAGACTAAGTATTGTTTATTTAAACCCATTATTGAAAGGGACCTTTGAACTTTCAAAATCCCTTGATTTACAAGATGTATATTCTTGGTATACATATGCTAAAAATGTCTTACCAGACAATAACCTCATAGACAAAGCGGCCAATTGTAAGAATATTAAAGATGTAAGCCATTTAAAATCAGAAATTAAAAATGAAATATATGACTATTATAAAGATTTATATAAAAGTAAAATAGAAAAAAATTGTCGAAAGTAGCAAACTTTTTCTGTATAAAAATTTAAAACCTTCACTTGAAGCAAATTTTTACTTTTTGCTTAACGGTTTTTCTATCAGGAATATTTTTACTACACTTCGTATAAGTGACCATGGTCTTGAAATAGAAAATGGTCTTCACATTAAAATTCCTCGAGAACAAAGACTGTGTAAAACCTGCAAAGCCATCGTAGATGAATTTCATTTTATTCTCAATTGCAAGGTAAACAAAAATATCAGACAAAATTTATATAATGATATACAATTAGATGATGAACATTTAATTCATTTCCCTAATGATGAAAAATTATTTTATATATTAAACCCCACTTCCTTTAGAGATTTTAGAATTATTGGATTCTTTATTAAAAGTTCATTAGAACTGAGGACAGAAGTCTTATTATTATACCTTACATATATTTCAAACAATTCTATTGAGTAAAACGTTATCACGTGACATGGAATAATTCAGTTAATTTTCATTCAATTGCAAGGAAGAACGAATAACCCTAAAAATTTACACGAGCGTTGAATAACCCTATTATTCACCGGCGAATAACCTTTTTAGTTTGTTGATTTGTACTCATGAAAATGACGTCACAGACGTAAATAAACAAAATGGCAACGTTCAAGTTACAGGAAACCCATTGATCGAGAGAAGAGGAAATAAGGCTTTTGATGTGCATCTTGTGCTGATGATATCTCTAATAACGGTCCTTTTCAGGGCCATCAATATTTTACAAAAAGAATCTACCTTTGTTGTACATACGAGAATTCTAAGACAAAAATTACATGTATTTTTGAACGTCAACTTGTGTTTGTTACTGACTCAAATAAGGGTAAGTGCTTTTACAATGATTCAAAATGCCCTTTCACAGTTAGTTCGGTATAATAAAACAATTGTGGCCCCTTAGAAGCGATGAATATCCAAAATTGTCAACCCTTAAAAGTTATTTCACTTTGGGCTGCGCCCTCAGTGAAATAAAATTCTCGTGTTGACAATTTTGGATATTCACCTTCTCTACAGGACCTAAATTGTATATTGTAACATGGACATTGAATATTGTAATATTGTAAATTAATCACTTATGTTTTGTGTCTTTTTGATTAATTTTTGTATACTTTTTATACGACCGCAAAAAAATTTTTGTGGTCGTATATTGGTATGACGTTGGCGTCGTCGTCGTCGTCGTCGTCGTCGTCGTCGTCGTCCGGCGTCGTCGTCTGAATACGCATTAGTTTTCGCACTCTAACTTTAGTTTAATTGACTGGATCTCTATGAAATTTCACCATAAGGTTCAATACAACAAAAGGAAGGTGGGGATTGATTTTGGGGGTTATGGTACCAACAGTTAAGGAATTAGGAGCCAAAAAGGGGCCAAAAATAAGCATTTTCTAGTTTCCAGACAATAACTGTGGAACGGTGTATGGATCTCTCTGAAATTATACTACAAGTTTCCATACCACAAAGGGATGGTTAGGATTTGCTTTGGGGGGTTATGGCTCAAACCGTTTAAGAATTAGGAGCAAAAAAGGGGGAAAAACAAGGTTGTCCTGGTTAATGGACAAATACTTTAGTACAAAACATAATTTTAAGCAGTGTAAGGGAGATAAATCAAATACATCATTGAAATTATCTCCCTTACACTGCTTTTAAATTATGTGTAAAGTAATGGTTAATGAACAATTAAGATAATTTAAAACAGTGTAAGAAAGGTAATCCAACTACAACATTTTGGTTACTTCCCTTACACTGCTTTTAAATTATGTTTAAAGAAATGCATATTTATAAAGGAAGACCAGTAAAAATATCTGCAAATGTTGCATCTTTTTTATTTACAAAAAAAATCCATATGAAAGATTTGACACTATATTTTAAATTCTATTATAAAATAGATTAAGTTAGCACTATGGTAAATTTAAATGGGTAATTATGGTTTGGGGAAAAAAAGGGGGGGGGGGGGGTAAAAAGAAATTGTGGGGGGGGGTCAATTTTTTCTCATTTCAGATTTCAGAAATTAAAAAGAATTATTCTTCAAATATTATTTTTTTTTCAAATTTCAAATATTGAAAAATTTCAAGAAGTAATCTTTAATTGCACAGTATGGCGCATTAGATTTGTAAAATCTTTGACCACATTTATTTATTTGTTATGCCGAATCTAACCGTGTATTTAGATTTTTAATTTTGGATCCAGTTTTCAAATTGGTCTACATTAAGGTCCAAAGGGTCCAAAATTAAACTTTGTTTGATTTTAACAAAAAATGAATTCTTGGGGTTCTTTGATATGCTGAATCTAAACATGTGTTTAGATTTTTGATTATGGGCCCAGTTTTCAAGTTGGTCCAAGTTGGGGTCCAAAATAAAACTTTGTTTGATTTCAACAAAAATTGAATATATGGGGTTCTTTGATATGCTGAATCTAAACATGTATTTAGATTTTAAATTTTTGGCCCAGTTTTCAAGTTGGTCCAAACTGGGGTCCAAAATTAAACTTTGTTTGATTTCAACAAAAATTGAATATATGGGGTTCTTTGATATGCTGAATCTTACCTTGTATTTAGATTTTTTATTTGTGGGCCCGCTATCAAATTGGTTCATATTGAGGTCAAAAGGGTCAAAAATTAAACTTTGTTTGATTTCATCAAAAATTGAATTATTGGGGTTCTTTGATATGCCAAATCTAACCGTGTATTTAGATTTTTAATTTTGGGTCCCGTTTTTTAAATTGGTCTACATTAAGGTCCAAAGGGTCCATATTAAACTTAGTTTGATTTAAACAAAAATTGAATTCTTGGGGTTCTTTGATATGCTGAATCTAAACATGTGTTTAGATTTTTGATTATGGGCCCAGTTTTCAAGTTGGTCCAAGTTGGGGTCCAAAATAAAACTTTGTTTGATTTCAACAAAAATTGAATATATGGGGTTCTTTGATATGCTGAATCTAAACATGTATTTAGATTTTAGATTTTTGGCCCAGTTTTCAAGTTGGTCCAAACTGGGGTCCAAAATTAAACTTTGTTTGATTTCAACAAAAATTGAATATATGGGGTTCTTTGATATGCTGAATCTTACCATGTATTTAGATTTTTTATTTGTGGCCCAGTTTTCAAGTTGGTCCAAATTGGGGTCCAAAATTAAACTTTGTTTGATTTCAACAAAAATTGAATATATGGGGTTCTTTGATATGCTGAATCTTACCATGTATTTAGATTTTTTATTTGTGGGCCCGCTATCAAATTGGTTCATATTGAGGTCAAAAGGGTCCAAAATTAAACTTAGTTTGATTTTAACAAAAATTGAATTCTTGGGGTACTTTGATATGCTGAATCTAACCATGTATTTTGATTTTGGACATTGGACCATAATAGGTAAATTAAAAAAATTGAAGTTATTAGACCACATTCTTTCTGTGTCAGAAACCTATGCTGTGTCAAATATTTAATCACAATCCAAATTCAGAGCTGTATCAAGCTTGAATGTTGTGTCCATACTTGCCCCAACTGTTCAGGGTTCGACCTCTGCGGTCGTATCAAGCTGCGCCCAGCGAAGCATTTTATTAGTTTTTATTTTGTTGTTTATTGTTTGTTAAAACTTTTATTGCCACAAACATTGTAAATGTTTAATGACAATAAATAAAATTAATTAATCCTAAATAGGCCCAATGGATGCTAGAAGGTGTGGGTTTTCTTCTTCTTCTATGATAGTGGCCATTGCGACCACTTTATCCATAATGTGATAAATTTGAAATAGATCAATTCCAATTTCAGTAATGTACACAGATAAAAATTGTATGTAAAACCAATGTGATAAAATATGGTAAAATTTCTACAATTTTTATACTGAAGATCCTCATGAAACTAGAATAGGCCTTTTCATAGTCGCTATCTTCTCAGTTCACTGACAGTTGATGTATTTCTGCATTCTGGAAGCCATTTTTATCTTCAGTGTGTGAATGAAAACAGTTCAGCATTCATTCCAGTATTTTGTTCTTTTAGTCAGCTGAATGCCATATAAAAAAGCATACACTTGTTGCAGACACAATATCTGTGAAATTAAAGTAGAAAAGCCTCTTTGAAAGTATGAAACACCATTGAAGGCAAAACATGAAAATGTCACATTGCCCATTACAAGACCAGATCCTAATGGAGTTAAGTATGAAATTTGTATTTATGAAATTTGTATTTATGAAATTTTTCAGGTTTTCAAAGAATGATCAACAGAATTTACAATGTCTGGTGAGGAGATGGGAGGCTGAATATAAACTTGATACTTTTTTTTTAAGACTTGGGTAAGAATTATTAGTTACCTTATGAATATAAGAAATAGGAAAGATTATCAATGTGTATGATTTCTGTCTTTTTGTTTTGTTTATAGGAGATTGAAGGTTATGATATTGTTAGTTTTGATAGGAAGATATTCAAAAAATATTTGAGGACACATCCTTTATGTTCGATAGATTTAATTTACACTATTAAAGTTCCATTATACAGTAACATATCTTTTGCTACCTACACCCATTTCTTAAACTAATAGATAAGGGAGGGTTACTAAGCTTCTTCCTTTGACAATAAGTATGCTCTTTGTGAAAAAGATTAGTGTTAGATTGAGGTAAATGAGAGACTGCAATGCCAAATGGAGTTTCTAATTCTTTCTTTTTCTCTTACAAAATGCAGATCAGATGGTAAACAAAAAGAAAAAAGTAATGATGATATTGAGGAAGTTCCCCAGTTTCTTTTTGTACATCAATCCGAAACGCAGAAGAGGCTTCTAAATATTTATGGCCAGGAGATTTGCTTGTTGGATGCAACATATAAAACATCAAGATATGACCTTCCTTTGTTCTTGGTTTGCGTCAACACAAATGTTGGTTATAGTGTTGTAGCTTCTTTTATAGTTGCTAATGAGAATCGCTACACCATTCAAGAGGCACTCATCAAATTGAGAGATTGGAATCCCATGTGGAAGCCCAAATATTTCATGTGTGATTTTGATTTGAGAGAAATTTGGGCACTTGAACAAACATTTGAAGGTAAACTCAGGAAATACATTGTAACTGAATTATTAATTTCATTCTTTTACAAATTACCTTCTATATCACTGCTAACATATTTACTTTAATAAAAACAGAAAATTTTTGACAAAATCAGCAAAATTATCCAGAATAAATAGATTTTGTACAAATTGAAAATATTATACAAACTATTGATCATTTTTATTTGAATTTATGATTAACTTTAATTTTTGAATATGTTTCTAGATTATAACTGCTACTTGTTGGTATGTATGATTTGGTAAGTGGGTGGTTGTGCTTTTTAATTGTTGTACTGGCATTTATATCACCATATATTCACATACATACATACATACATACATTGTACAGGCTTTTTTTTTTATCACACACGCTTTTTTATCACCTGCTTATTATTTTCTTTAGATTCATGCTCTTTTCTTTATATCATGCAGACCACATTTTCATGTCAATCCTTTATATTAAGGCTGAAAGTTATTATAATGTTGTATACATATACATTGAAGGTAAACTTTTATAGCTTGGATAAAGAATTAGGACAGTGTTATTTTTCCTGATTAATTTATTAGCAGTTTTACCATTACTTCCTGTCTTAAAATTTAAAAATACTATAGATCTTGAATCAAACTTTCCCTTATTGTTTTCCTTAACAGTATAAATTGTTTATTTTATTTCTTATGATTTTCAGTTCTAGTTATCATAAACAAATTTATGGACACATTATGGAAATCTTTCAGCTTTAATATTTTTATCTTAATACTTTTCTTATTGGTGGCATAATGTTTCAATATATGTTGTAGATATATATATAGTGTACAGTGTTACATTCTTATTTTAAATGATTTTTAAGGGAAATAATTTAGTATGATTCCTACTTTATTTCTGATAATTTGATGAACTAACTATCAGAAAAGAAAACCTTCATTTTTTTTGAAAGTTTTTAAAGCACATTAAAATTGAGAAGTTTTTATATTCTGGCATATGGTTTTTATAAACACATTAAGGATTTTATTTAATTTATGTCAATATAGTTGTATTACATGCTTTTAAATAAAAAATTGTAGTGCTTGCTATAATACAAAATAGAAAATTTTACTGCAATTATATGATTTGTCTACCTTTGTTGCATCTTACTTTAAATTCCTTTTTACAATTATAAGCTGATATTTTAAATGAATATTATTCCTTAAAAATAGAAATAATTTTTTTACATGAAATAAAGCCATATAATTTACTCATTGCATTGATTTTTTAAAAAGGAATTTATTGTGTTTGCCAAATTAAAGTACGAGTGCATATTACTTAGTTTCAAGTGTTTAGATGTGTTGATTATGTGAAAAATTATTTCGGTTGTGTTATTGAGCACCTAAATACATAGCCTAATAAATTTTTTAGTTTGTAATTAAATTGGAAAGATTTGTATATGTTTTAGGTTTGATGGTGTATCTTTGTGACTTCCATAGGGAACAAGCCTGGCACAGATTGCTAAGAGAAATTAAGCATGATTGCATTGATGAGAAAGATGAAATTAAAAGAATGTAATGCTTATTTATGAAGCTAAAAAATTTTTATTCATGGTCACATGTTCTTCTGAATTCATAAAAAAATACTATAACTATATTATACAGTTGATGTTACAAGATGGTTAAAATTAAATGTTAGTTATTGCATTTTACCAGCAACATGCACACGTTAAGATATTTAATATATTGCCGACAATCAAAGTATTTAGTTTGCATATAGCACATGACTGTGACTAACAGTTTTCACTCCACGACAATTCTTTTAAAGTACATAAAAGTAAAATGCTCATGATTTAACAAAAGTAGGCTCCTTGAAAACATAGCCCTCAAGTAGTAAACACATATTAATTTATTTAAAAGTGCTGTCTAACAGTCAGTTGTGAATAAATTCTAGAATGCATCAATGAGGCAGTGAGACAAACATTTCAAAGTTATCAAATTGTGACATATCCGTTTGTTAGATACAAGATTTAGTTACATATTTTTTTCAAATGATTTGATCGAATAATTTTAATTTCAGGTTAAGAGAAATAGCTGATGCTGATTCTGCAGAGTCACATACAAATGCTTTGCAACAATTAAGAAGCAGTGATATTTTCAAGGCAAAGGTCTCCTTGAGAAATTGGCTCGAAAACAAATGGCAAGGTTTGTTAATTTAATATCAAATTTTGAGACTCCCTTTACCACCAGCTTAATTTTGTTGCATAGTATATTAAAGGTATAGTAGCTACAATTTTGACAAAAATTATAACCAAGTTTTATAGCTGCTATAATCAAAGATATGTACTTCAAATTCACAATAAGATCATTGAAATGTTAACATGAACTACAGAAGTGTTAATAATTCATTATAAATATTGTGTTGTGTGCCTAGTCATCTCATTAGTTACACATCGGGTTTACTTCCAAACCATGGCATTATACTATTATCAATTTAATTTGAACTTTTCATTGTAATTGTGATAGTTGAAACTAGGACCTTTTCATTTGTTTCAAAATTTATGATGTGCTTGTTGTAAACTTCTATATCATTTGGTCTCTGGTGGAGAGTTGTCTCATTAGCAATCATACCACATCTTCTTATTTTTATATTATCAAAAAACGGTTGAACAGTACAATTAACTTGCAACAATATCAATATCACACATTTTATGCTATTAAAAAGTTTTTTTATTACACAATGTTATTAGGTGTCTGTTTATTTTAATTTTTTTCAGAGATGGTCAAAACTTTTCAGAAATTCACTTTTTAACATCCGAGTGAATACAACCAATGGTCTTGAAAGACAACATAAAGAACTAAAGGAAAACTACTTGACAGAGTATATAGATAAATCTTTGTCAAGTATGGTGACATCATTGGTAACCAAATACTTACCAGATAGTTATGAGAGGTATTTTTTTACTCTAATAAGAAATTAATTTTATTGTTTGAGACCATTTGCAACCACTTTCAATCCCCCAAAATGATTACCCTTATTTTTTATCAGTAGTAAGGGAATACCTACTTAATGCAATCATTGACTGCATACATTCGTTTAAAACAATATGAATTTTTTGGTCAGTTTTTACTTGGTATATATATTGTAATTTGAATGCTTCTTTTGTAATCTAATAATGTTGTAAAAGGGTTGACTGAAGCACATTTTAAGAATGAATTGTTCTATCCTTCTTACACTTCATAATGTGTGTGCTTCTGTCAATGCTATGACTCCAATAAAATTACAAAAGAAAGCTTTCAATTCTTAGATATATCAAAGTGGGAGATGCTGATTAGACCAATACAGTAAATATTAATGCACATGAACAGTTCCTGTTATTCAAATTGGTTAACTTTTATTCAAACCACGTTTGTCCCCTTCCTTAAGTGGTTTTGACTGTATTTCAAATTAATAGTTTTTACACAATTTTATTTCAATCAAATAGATTGGATGAAACTTACAAGTCAAAAGTTCTAAAATTTTAATTTTGTTCATTCATTTTATTTCTTTTTATATGAAAATAGTTGGCTAAACTAATGTTATAAAATGTCATTCTATCCTGTTTGCCAAATCCCATTCATCTTTAAGGATGGTACTATTTTCCAGGTATAAAGAATACAACATTCAGTCCTTGGATAACTATAGAAAGTATTCTAATGATGTTCCAGAGTTTTTAAGGAGCCGTCCAAGAAAATTTGTGGACCATTGTTTAGCCAGAATTCCACCTGCGGCTACATTGATCCCCATTGAAAATATGGAAGAAGTTAACCATGATATGCTGGTTAGAAGTGTTGAGTCTGACAATGTATACCAAGTTAGACTCAATGATGATTTACCGAAATGTTCATGTCCAGATTGGAGGAAACATCACTGGCCATGTAAGCATATGCTGGCAGTCATGATGAACATGCCAAAAAAAGATTGGAATACACTGCCAGAGTACTACAAAGCAACCCCTCATTTCAACATTGATTTTGGACTTTTAGAAACAAACAGAAAAGAAACACTGATTGATAACAATGCAAGCAGCTCAATGAAATATGAATGCCAACAAGATTTAACTGCTTGCATTGATAACACAGTAGAAACATCCTCCACTAAGGCTCGAAACTTATGTTTAGACAACATTAAACAAATTACATCCAATTTATATTGTATTAATAATAGCCAATACCTAGAAGAATTCAATAATAGACTAGCAGTGTTGGTAAAGGAAACGGACAGGGAAGCACCACATCAAAATGGTCTTCGATTAAATTTGCCAGCAACCACAGGCCTCTACAATAACTTTTTTTTCAACTTGTCCTGTAGGACAAGTACATACCAAAATTTACTTGTCCGAATGAAATTGTTACTTGTCCAAAAAAATTCTATTAAAAATAACCTTTTTACATTTTTAGTTGATTAACGGAGCAAAACGAATTTAAACAATATAACAGAATTTGATGTATTTCTTTTGAAATACTTTTCAAAAATATGAGTCAAGTACAACTGCGAAACTAGTCATGTCACATGAATTAGGTTCTACTTTTCATCAATGCTAGTCTCACCAGACTCTAAACATGAGGCACCATCTGATAGGCCTGTACATTAATTGGATTTGTATTCTGTTTTGTTTTTTAAGTTGAAAAAAGTTTATTCAAATGCAATCAATAAAAAGACGAAGATAAGCCATCATAAATGAGACAACTCTCTGCAAGAGACCAAATGACACAGAAATTAACAACTATAGGTCACCATTTTGCAAGAATTGTTTTTTTTCTACTTATGATCAAATATGATTTGTGAATTTTATGGTAAATAAAAAAAAAAAAAATTGTGAAAAAATTACGGTATGGTATTTATTATAAGGAACAGAATAAGGTAGCAAAATGAGGTACTGATTTGTCTTGGTCCCGAAATGTGTCCTGCCTTGTCAAACTGTCTATCAATCATGTCTACTAAATATGTCTCCTACGGTGTCAAACTGTCTATTAAACTTGGAGCTGAATCTTTTGAGGTGACGAACTGTCCTGTAAAGTTACCTTATCTACAAAGCGCATCATTGATTCGGATCAGTAAGACTGGTTTCCCAAAATAGTATACCTTTTACCTGTTAAAAAGTACCTGACAAAGAACTAGTTAAAAATTATCGATTGCAAGTAAACATGTTGAAAGAAAAGGTTTTGCATTTGAATAAACAGAATACAGAAACATGTCAAATAAAGATTTGTTTTCTTGTTTTTTGTTTATAATAAATAACTTTGTTAATCAAAGTTGGATTAAATTTATTTTCGGCAGAATAATTGTACTTGTCCCGACGGACAAGCTTGATACAGCTTTTACTTGTCCGACCTTTTTTCCCTTTGGTACCGGACAATCGGACAAGCATTATTGTCGAGGCCTGAAACAAAAGGAAGACCATATGTAGAAGACAGAAAAACAAACTTCACTTAAAGAAAAGTAAGTGCACCCTTATAATTTTGTTTTGATAAACTTACGATTAAATGGTTGGTTTTAATGATCATCTATCTAAAACTGCAAGAAGTTGTTTGTATTTAAAGTTCTGCTAGGAAAAAAGCAAATAAAAAGCAGTAAGAAACAAGAAAACGTATCCACAGTACACTGATGCCCCGATCACACAATTCTGTTCATGTCTTAATAAATAAAGTGTGTTTAAAACGAAAAAATCACCATTATTTTCCATATTCATTGAACCATGAAATTGGGGTCAAAATCTTAATTTGGTGTACAATTTACAAAGATCACATCATAAGGAAGAAGTGTAATAAGTTTCAAGTTGATGCCACTTCACCTTGACCAAAAACTTTGACCTCATACAGGATAATGAACATGATGAATAGATGGACACACAGACCAGCAAACATAATGACCTGGTACTGTCTATAGTAGCAAGGGCATAAAAAACACTTCAAATTTAAGTGTGTAAAAGCGCTTCTTACACAAAAATTATTTCATTGTATAAAGAAATTTATGATTAAATGTGTTTTAGCATAGATGTGTAAGTATCTATGGTTTGTTAAGTTTTAATTGTGGGCTACCTTCACTGTTTGGAAGTCATGGCTTTTGAAAGATTGGAAAATGGCAAGACACAAATTAATGTAATAAAAATCTTGTTAACAGTTATTTTGACAGCCTTTTGTTTAAATTTGACTAATGTATAACAGTTGAAGCAATATTAAATGCTTATGAACTTTAATACAAATTGCAGGCAATATCACAAGACGTCTTACCAAGAGATCTGCAAGCATAAAAAAAATGCCATTTATGCGAAGACCACATTGGAGAAAGTACACAAAGACACTATCACCGGTTAAAATGAGTTCAAATGTATATTCAGCAGGTAATTGTACATTGTTTGAATTTAGTTACCCTTTTATATAGCCATTGTACAAAGAATTCAAGGGAGACAAATCTTACATTTATCAATTATATATTGTGTGAAGATCTTTTCTAGACCATTCATTGAGGATTGTTGTGTAACCTTCCATTTATTTTCTTTATATACCACATATTCTCAAATTATTGTAATATACAAAGTTACATATATGTCATCAGACAGCTCAACATTTATGTCCCCCTATTAAAAATATGAGAATAGCCTATGCACATTAATTTCACTCCATAGGTTTTTTTTAATTGAATTTCCAATGGAAAACTTATATTCCACCACTCATACAAGTGTATTACAATATATCTCCTCAGTTGAATTTTGATATTTAAAGCGTGAGGCTTTCTGAACTTTTTAATTCAATAAAATGTAACTGTTGAGAGTGGAGAAATATGGTACTGTAAATTCAGAAATTATTGCAATGTTTTTATTATTGCAAAAAATGTGACAGGGTTATAATCGCAATAATTAAAATTCGCATTTTGAAATTTTTTATATGAATCAGCATTTTTCAGAATATCGCAAAAATTAAAATCGCATTTTAGTCTAAAATGACAAAATCGCAATAATTAATGCACGCAATAATTTCTGAATTTACAAATCATTTGCCAAGAACAGATATTTCACTAGTTAGGAGAACAATTTTTTCACAATCGGTTGGGAAATGTAAAACAGCAAAAAAAATAATTTCCTGTGACACATACTTCTATTATTTGATATATGGTTCAAGGAACATACCTTCCAATGCATAAGTGAATTTAACAGAAAATGAATACTACAGCTACCATTGCTTTTTTCAGAGCCATGCAATGAAGAGTCAAAGAAATCAATGGCAATCACCCTCACAGAAATAGATCGAAGAAATGGTAAGTATGAATTAAATTGTTCGGACAATAATTTATATTTTCCAAAACAAATAAATGATTGTGTAGGCACAGGAAAGCATTTTGAAATTTTTCAGATGATTAAATTAAAGTGCTATTTGATTCTTACAATCTATTAGTGTTTGTTGACAATATACTACTTAAGAAATAATTCCTAAATTCATAAGCCATAGATTTGTTGGAAATTTACACATGGCCTGGGCCGTGATATTCTAATTTTATCATAAGCATTAGCGCATAGGTTATGAAGCATGTGGATTTACGTGGGAGGTATATTGTAACAGTCATTATTATGTTCAGATCTGTGTCCGCTAAGTATTAATGAAATTGGAATTCAACTTAATCATATGTATACTTATTTCAATTTCAGCAACTGACTTGTTGAGAAAAATTCAGTCAATTGGAAATGCATCCCATTATATTCTGGCCAAGGTTTATGGGGTAAATGTAACAGACATTGATATCACATCACTTTTTGGGAATTGTTGGTTGACTGATCAGGTAAGTTTTAAAATATTCAAATATTCCAGGTTTATTCTATTATTTTCTGTATTACATTTTTGCGTTTAAACCTGTCATGGTCATGAACAAGTTTTGTTACTTTGGTGGACATTGAAAACTGAAAATGGCCACCATGGAGGTCAAAATTTTCATAGAATCTATGAATTTTTTTTAATTTTTTTTTAAATTTCCAATTTCTATTGATGTGGTTTTATGCAAACTGTCTTTGTAGGATTGATCATTAGTAAGTGCCTTCAAAAGATCTAAAAGGGTAAAATTGATGGATATTTTAATGACTTTTTTAACAACATTGTGGATTGAAAATACATACTAGATTTACTGTATATACTAGATATATTCACTTCAAGGTGTGGAAGAATATTGGGACTTTGGTGGTGTAATACTATAGTAATAACTGCATTAAAACTTACCAAGATGCTAGCAATTAAAAATTGTATATTTTTTTAAATTACAAATACCATTACCCTAAACTAAGGCATTATGTTCAACAGTAATTTAAATGCTTATATATTTAAATTTTAAAAACACCACATTTTTATTAAGGTTATTGATGCCTACTTGGCTGTACTTTGTCAAGCTCAACAAGACAATGGAAGAAATATTTTGCATATTCCTGCTGCAATAATGACCAACATATGCAAAGGAGATTCGATTGGAAATCAGAATCTATACCAAACGGTAAAAGTCTATCACTTTAATTTAGTTTAATGAACATTCAGTGCTGATAAGCTATTATAATATACCAGTGCTAATAATCTACAGTATATTACATTAACTACAGTCAAATGATTTTAAGATAAATTTAATTTGGTGATTTTACATGCTGAATATACATGATACACTAGTTAAAACATGGTTTGTTTTATTTGTCTACTTTTTTAATGATTGATAACCAAAAAAAGGCAAGGATCAAAGAGACTTAAACTTAAAATCTATAGAAAAAACAACAAACCATTATCTACCTATAAGACATTTTTTTTTATATATTGTAGAAAATCTTGACAGATTATGAAGTTATATGTGGAGTGTATAATCAAGCAGGGAATCACTGGGACCTAGTGGTAGTTTAAATTTTATAACATGCATGTCAGCTTCTTGTGAAACAGGGGACTCACTGTATCAGTGGTGTATGTTGTAATCTATAATAATTACTAGCAAGTCAATATTGAAGTTGTGAGTTTGATTTCTGCTTTTTGGGTTTGCTCAAGTTGAGTTTTCCTGTCATAGATTGATGGTTCTCTTTAGGCACTACAGCTTCTTCCACCAAAAAAAACTGGCCATCACAACATACCCAAAAATACTGACCTTGGCATTTACAACCAACAATCAACCAATTTACGAAGCACAGTCTTTCTATATATTCTATCAAATCACATTCGTTTTGTCATATTTATGGTTAATTATGTTGGAGTTTCATTTAGGAAACCCTCAGCTAATCCCTTTGCATATATTGAATTCTTTTCCTGTAAGGTGTTGTTAGCTCTTATCGTACGTTTTGAATTACATCGCCTTTATCATATATATACATGAATGAATTATTCTTAACAATCAAAATCTCATTTATATCATCAAAGATCTAAAGTTTAAAAACTGAAATTTAAGTATCTGTACAGCCTGGTGATGTGTTTTTTCATTCAACTAATGTTTGTAAGCTTGCATATTAATTTAGTCCATCTTAGGTTATATGAATATGTGTATGTTTAACAAGTCATTAAAAAATCCCATCCTCTAAAATCCCTTTGAATTTACATGATGTACCCTCATTTTTTTTAATTGCCTATTAAGATGATATTGGGTATAGCATGTAACAGTCATCACTGGAATTCTAAGGTTTTTTTTTTTGGTTTTTTTTTTAGATATTAACACCAAATGATGGACGAATACAGTTTTACAATCCAATGGGTTTCCAGGCCCCAGTTGCCAATCAAGTTCAAAGAAACTGGAGGTACTATATGTTTTATGTACTGATTGTTATATGGCTGTTTATTGGACGTATTATGGTATACTGTTGTCTGTCCATCTGTCTGACTGTCCATCCTCAACATGTCGGACTATTTCTGATATGACATTGAGGAGTTATGTAACTTTATTCTTTCAAAGAGCAAGGAGCTTATCATGCGATCATGGCAAAGCTGTATATTTTATGAGCTCCAACTAGTTTAATATTATCAACAGCATATTTAGAGCAAACTACAGATGTATAATATTTTTACTGCAAATGTATATACAACATGAAAATAGTTATATATCTAGTCAAATAAGTGAAAATTGCTATTTTTGCCATATTTTCAACACCATAGATCCAGGTGAGTGAGTGACTCAGACCAGTGGCAGATCCAAGAGGAGGGTTCTGGGGGTTGAAACTCCTCTTTTTTTTAATGATCAATGCATTTGAATGGGGACACATAGTTGGAACCCCCGCCTCTTTCTCCTGAGTTGGGAACCCCCTTTTAAGAATGGCTGGATCCGCCCCTGCAGGCTATAGTAAATTAATTCTATTATCAGTTTGAAAACAGCAGACAACATATCTTTTTCTTTTGAAGTCAGAAGGAATTTTTTTTTACGATTTGACAACATATCTTAATTTTTTTCAGCGACTATTTGGCATATAGAACCAACTTATTTGCAGAAAAAACAATAGAATGGAAATTGTATGTTGAAAAACATGCTTTGCAGTTAGATGGTTACAACTGTGGTGTATATTGTTTAATGGTAATTAGTCTGTTATCTTTTTCTCAATTGTTATGCTTAATTTAATTCATTTAAATGCTTTCGATACAGCATCTTGATTTCTTTTCAATGAATTAAAATTGAATCAATGTAGAAGACCAAAAGACACAGAAATTAACAACCATAGGTCACCATACGGCCTTCAAGAATGATCAAAGCCAATTCAGCATAGTCAGCTACAAAAGGCACCGAAATGACAAATGTAAAACAATTCAACGAGAAAACTAACAGCCTAATTAATGTACAAAAAAACAAAACCAAAAATAAATATGTAATACAGCAACAAACGACAACCACTTTGTACAGTTATCAATAAGGGATCGATGATAATGGAGATTTTTATATATATGTTTATTTTCATGGAAATATGCCCTCTTTGAAATATGTGAAAAAAACACCATGAAAAGAAATACAATTACTATAAGTTATGCCAAATATTATAGTTTGCAGAGAGAATACTGTCAAAAAAAGAATTAACAGGCATTACACAAGTAGAGGTCCAGGAAAAAAGGAAAGAAATTGCAGAGACCTTGTTACTTTATGAAGGTAATTATGTCTCTCCTTCTTGTACAGAAGTTAAAGTTCAAATTCTTTGTATGTATGTTTTTGTATAACCTGACGGAAATATTTGATCATTTTCACAAATTCAGATGCATACATCCATCATTTTTTTTCAAAGACAAACTTTAATATGATTATTTTATAATCCACAGTTTTAGGGGAAGAGATAAATTTATTTTCTTTTACCATCTAATATATAATTTTTTGTAAACATTGAAAATTTTTATTTGGATTCTACAAATGTGTTACAGTCTTGTGATTTCAGAAAATATCAGTGTTTATCATCAATCGCTCAGAAAATTCTGTTTTGGAAGTTAGATCTTTACAAATGTAAATTGTTGTGTGATTGGTTGGTAAACTTGGCCATCAAAAGATTTCATTGTTATCAGCATATTTTCAAGATAACTTTAATGACATTCTTTCTTTATTTCATAATTGAACCATATGAGCACACACTCAACCTCTCTTCAACTAAGAGTGTCACTCAAAGATTGCATGAATAACCCCATGCAGTTGAACTATTGCATGCAATTCAAATATATGTCAACCATTTGGCTGGTCTGAAATTAGCAACTCTGACTGCTAATATAGAGTTGTCCTTTATAATTCTGATTACAAACATTTGAAAACCAAAATTATTACTATAATTGTTTGCTTTAATCTTAGCCAATTGAATTTTATATTTTTGTAGAATTTTTATTTTGTAATAATTAAAACTTTCAAAAAATGTCTTGCAGTTTATATGAAAGATGCTTGTCCCTGCTGTGGATTTGATGTACAAGAACAACCTTGTGTAAGTAAAATCATATGGTATAATCAAGACATTCTTTTACAACAGACTACTGTAAATGTAGAAATTATTCCTGCATTTATTCTACTGTTTTTTGAAGATTGAAAAAATATGCGAGATGAATTTTTTGGCGATTTCATGTTAAATCTGCATTGAGATATATGTAGCAGATATCAGAATGAGAGTTCTAATAATTGCCATAATCACCAAGTCACATTATTAGCATTAAAAAAGTTGTAATAATTTCTGAATTCACAGTATATATAAGGAAATATTTTCATTTTTATGCCCCCGCCGTACGGGAAGGGGGAATTAAGTTTTACCCTTGTCCGTCTGTACGTATGTCCGTACATCCCAAAATTGTTTTCTGTTCTCTAACTTGAGTTTGCCTCAACCAAATGTTATGAAACTTATTTACAATGCTAATTACCTCAAAATACAGATCAAGTTTGAATTTTGGTAGCGTCACTCAAACCGTTTTAGAGTTATGCCCCTTTATAAATGGAAAAATTACAAAATTTTTAGTTTCCGTTCTCTAACTTAAGTTTGCCTCAACCAAGTAATTGCATGTAATGTGTAATGCAGCAATTTTTGCATTACATGTAATTGTAATTTAATGCATTACTTGAGAAAAAAGTTGTGTAATGTCATGCATTACAGGGCATTACTTTTTTCACATACTAATTCTTTCACAGATTGTTGGGAATTTAGCTAAAGCAGAATTTAAGAAATTAAATCTTTAAAGTGTTTTGTTGTTGTCAAAACATCCATGAATACCTTGTCATGATTAAATAACAGAAAATTGACCATTGTCATAAAATACTAATTAGTTTGTTTTACAATCAATCTTTTCACCATTTTGACACATGGTCATAAATTAAGCTCTTTGTTTATTATTTAATTAGGAAAGAAATTATCAGTTAATATTTTTAATTTACATCCAGATTCAAGATTTATTAAAAAAACTTTCAAGACATCATAATTATTTGCATTTGTTCTGTTGATTGACAGTGGTATAAGGACTGGAATGAGATCTAATATATATAGTTCTGCTCAATAGTTTCATGTTAAATCAGTTGTAGTAGGTTGTTTGAAGTTTGCAGCATATTCAACTTTGAACATCTTTTTCAGGTCTGCAATCCATATAAAAAATCAGAATATGTGGTATGATTGCCAATGAGACAACTATCCGCAGAGGTTCAAATATCAAAACAATTATAGGCAACCATGCAGCCTTCAAAATTTAGGAAAACAGTCCCGACATGTAAAGTATGCAACAATTCAATTGAGAAAAGTAATGGCCTGATTTACAACTAAACAACCGGTTGGGATGTTGGGAACACCCCCCCTCCTCCCCCCAAAAAAAAGGTGTTAAAAAGGGAAAAAAGGAGATGTAGCCTTTTTAACTTATAAAAGGGGGGGGGGGGGATTCATTACATTCGAAACAACAACTTTTCAAAAGGATGGATCCATATATGTAATGATTTTAACATACTGATGTCAACATATTACAATTGTTTCATTTTCAATTTGGTGTATGCTTTTAATAATTTTTTTAATTTTTTAATTTTATTTCATGCAGATTGGTTGTTTAATTTGCGGTAGACACTTCCATAAACTTCCTTTCTGTGTTGGTGAGAGCCTGGCCAAAGAAGATGCTAATTTTTTCACTTGCAAGATGTGCGAACACAACATTGTAAGTAACAAATGTCAATTTTGAAGTTCATATGATATAAAAATATGAAGATGTAGTATGAGTGAAGGCTAATGAGACAACTCTCCATCCAAAACACAATGTCGCTTAATGTTAGCAATAATACACCTTATCGCTATTTGGAAAGCTGTCCTGCTTGACCCGAGAATCTGTCCCTCTTGAACTTTTCCCGTCATACAACAATCACTTTTCCATTGTGGCGTCAGATATTTTCTATTGTGACGTCAAAATTTTATGGAAACTTTTGTGATGTCCAGTAATGGCGGACAAATAGCGATAAGGTGTATAGGTTAAGTTACGGCCTTCAACAAGGTATCTAGGCTGATGATGTATGGCAAGCTATAAAGGACCCATAAATGACCAGTGTATTGAATCAGGTGAATCCATAACACATTAAGTTTTTTAAATTAATAGGCACATGCCTCTCTGATATCAATGTGCAATTGGTATACCAAAATTATTTTATATTCATGAATTGTATACTAAGATCTTTATTAATTCTGGATTTGAATAACAGACCCTTTTAACCTTTTGTGAAGTGTCATGCATTCTTAATTTTTTCAGCATTTAGATTTGCCAGATAACTGCTGTTGTATATCAGTATACTAAACTTAATAATTTTTTGATACGTTTATGTTTTATCTTCTGCAATTTAATTTAATTGAAAATGGAAAAAAAAGTTATCATATTAAAGAAAAAAAATATAAATAATTTTATTTCATTTATTTTATAATTGTTATTATAACCAGCAATTTAATTTGTTGTTAGATGTCAATAAAAAAAAACAGAAAACACTCCAAAAACAAGTGTTATCATTATTAACCAGACATCAAATAAAAGTAAGGTTGAAAAATTATTTAAAAAAATATTTTTTTTGTATAAAGATTCCAGACACAATAGATTTAGGTGGAATAATGGAAGAAAAGCCTGTTAAAGATACAATAAATCCAGATCCATGTAAGTAAAGCTTAACAAATCTACAAAACTTTTTCTGCTTCATTGATCACTAGTTATTTTCATTTCATTGATAATTTGTTTTATAGATTCCATCATTTTAAAAGGCAGACACATAGTGTTCAATGTAACACTTATGTCTTTATACAATGCTACATTTATGACTTATAAACTGTCCTTGACATTGTCAAAACAATTTGTAGGATTTCAAAAAACTTGAATATGTGCTTAATATTTTCTAATATGTTTTTATGCTTGGCAAATAACATAAGGAATTACCAATGTCTGTTTATAGATAACTTTTACATGTAGGTGTATTTTAGCCTTTGTTCTCCTGTTATTTTTTATGTACATCTTACAGACTGTGGACCAAAAACTGAAATAAAGAAGACTTTTTCAGGAACGACGGCCCTGTTTGTGAAAAACCTCATTGAATCTGTAAGACAAATAATATTTACTTCTAGTATAAGTAACATACTGTTTAATGGGCCATAACATATTTTATATGATACTATATAACACCTAAACCAATTGATTTCAACACATGTCTTATTACCACAAAACATGGATCAAGTTAAAATTTGGGTAACATACAACCTTCAACAATGAGCAAAGCCCATACCACATAGTAAGCTATAAAAGGTCCCGAAATGACAAATGTAAAACTATTCAAACGAGAAAACTAAGGGCCTAATTTATGTACTAAAAATGAACAAAAGTTTGCCTCAAACAAATGTTATTAAACTAATATACACAATGCTTAACTTACCACAAAAGGTCAGAGTACACAGTTATCTTCCTTTGATTTTCGTTGTCCACGAATATAGTCCCTAGTGTGGACAGTGGACAGTGTGTTACTTGCCAATTTTTATTATACCCCTTCCAAATGTATTTCTTCATGTTTTATGCCTCAAATAGCAAGTAGGGGGATGAAATTACACTGTAAAAAAATTTGGGTCATGAATTTTAGAGTAAAGTAGTGATTTGGTCCAGCTGAAAAAGGTTAAAAATTAGCACTTCGGAAGCTGTCGAAAGTTTTCAAGACCCCCTTAACATAAAATTGTCCATATTTTGAGTTAGAGCTGATGAAGTTTTCTATAATTTGTCCCAAAAGTAGTACAACACACTGTAAAAATATTATTGAGAAAGCGCAGGTGGGATTTTTTTTATTTTCATTTATTGTCTAAAAGAAATGCACTACGAAATAACTGTGTACTCAGACCTAAGACACAGTTCAAGTTTAAATATGGATGACATCTTTTTCACTGTTCTAGAGTTATTAACCTTTATAATATTATATGTAATAAGGGGCATCATCTGTGTGCCATGGACACATTGTTAATGGACACATTCTTCTTATAATTTATATAAAAGTATTATTTAAAAACCTATTATTCTTTTTTGTGCAGAAATTTTCCGAGGAGAGTATACATAACTTCTTTGATAAAATATCAATCCTTGATGTAAGAGATTGCTGGCTCTCTTTAGTCGACACATTCAAGGAAATTAAAGAAAATCTTCCTTTCACTCCTGAAGATGTCAAATGGAAAAAACCTGAATGCCAAAGAAAACTATTTTCGATGGGAGAGTTTGGTGATGGGTAATTTATCAATTTCCAATTATTTTTATAACAAGTTTGTAATTTAAATTAGAATTGAAATTTGATAATAAATTGCTGTATCAGAAGTGCTCTTTCTGAATTTACCTTCATCAGGAACACTTACACCCAAAAATAATATAGCCAATAATGTAAAGGTGCTTATATTTACTCATGATTTAATGGCTTATATTGGTATAAAGGCTGATGAAAACAGGGTCCAGTTGTAATTGAGGACAGTTTTTTTTTATTTTTCTCCATAAATTAGTGTTAATACATTTATCTCTGAACATGGTTTGCTTTTTGCATGAACATTTGCAACTTGCAGTACCAATAACTAGACTATTGAAATGTTTTTTCTTTAAAATATGTGATGAAAAGTTATATTTAATCTAAACCCTATGAAATTAAAAAAAAATCTGTTATAAATTTAATTGTAATTGATATATGAGTATTTGAAATTCATATGGAATACTCAAAAATACCTTTTTATTATTTCTTTACTAGATACATAGATAAAATTCCAACTAGATACATAAGAGACTATGTTTATCCAATTAAAGTCCAAACCAAAGCTTCTTGGACAATTTTCAGTGGACTGTCTGTCTTCATTTTTGGAACTGAAATGAAAGCTCAACAAATTAGACTTGCCATTGTCTGCAAAGAGTTTTCAGAGATAGATAAGGTAAATACATGTACATTTCTGTTTGAAAAAGTTGTTGGCCATTCAGCGGATAAAACCCATAACTTTGTGTCTGTTACTCAGAAATATGAATACAACTGATTTAAAATCTGCATAAAGCAAGTGAAAGTCCAAGTTAAACATAATATATCAAAGCTACATCTAGTCATTTGTAACCCCTTGGTTATCCTGTTTTAGTCTGAAGTGCAGGTCATGGGTTAGAACTCAATTCAAACTAAAGACTTGCAAATATGCTATTTCTCAGCTAATTACATAGCATCAAGAAGTAAAATTAAGGATTGTTCTGCTCAGAATAATGTGTCTAGGTGACTTCCTGTGGAGTGTTTCCTTGTGAACTAACATGTTAAAAATCCAGGACAGCATATATGGTTCTAGAAAAATATAGGTTCAATATTATTATTTCATTACCATGTTCTCATCATGAGTGTGCATTTAACTAGCACTGGACCTTAAACAACCTTCCATCCATACATCTAGTCATTTGTCCAATCTTCATACATCATGAATATTGTTGTTCTTGATGAATATCATATAGGTTTATTGGTGTGAATGCTTATGGAGGTTTTTGAACATAATGTAAATATAAACCCTTTAATTGATTTATTGTTATTGAAATGATTTTTGAATATCATTGCAGACACAAAATTACAATGAGAAGACAATAATTCAGATGGAACTGAATAAAATGGATAATTTCTGCAAAGATGAAGATATCTTAGGTATTTCTTGGATAAATTGAGATAAAATTACATATTTTGAATTGACAAGTTATTCATAATACTAAAAACCAACTGGATACTTAATATTATCTATACTGTACTGAAAATGCCTGAATTTTGGATTATATTTCTACTCATTTCATAAAAAAGAGGTCTTGATGATTCACACCACTTTTCAGTGCATTCAATATAATTTCACTTAGTATTGTGCTTTTAAACAATCTTTGAAAATTCAGACATCATTGAAATGTTCTAAAACTACTATTAATGGGAATGAAACAGCTAAATTGATTTGAATCTATAAGATCTGATAACAATGTAATGTAATTAGAAAAAAACTTAACATGTTAAAAATGTGTTTTGACCTTCCAACATTGTATTTTGATGGATGTCATACAATAGTCTGAAATGTTGTCTCCTGCTAGATAAGCAGTGCAAGCAAGTTTAACAAAAATACTAAAATTTTTCTGATTTTTTATTGTGAAATGAAAAAGCATAGGAGTAATATTACTTTATTTGAAATTGCAAAGTAGTAAACAACTGGGATACACAAGAAAGGAGAAGAAAATCTAAAATCTGTTTATTAATTTTTTATCTGATTTTAGGTTCATTTCACCTTAAGTTTATTCCAATGGCATTCAAGTTGAATGTCTGTATTCACAAACGACTCAATGGAATTGAAGAAACACTCAGACATAAGTGCGAGGAACCAAATGGGACTATTGAATTCTTGTCTATGCACCTAAAAAAGGAACCTTGTGTGTCATACCATCTTCTTGTAGATGGTATTTTTATCTTAAACAGAGGAGTGGCATTAAGAGAACAATGTGGGGCAAACCAGTTTGGGCTCTGTCAAGGTCAATCAGAGTCCTACATTCAATGTAGTAAATGTTTACAAAACTACCATAGACAGTGTGTCATTGTTGAAGTTGAAACTTTTGCATGTGGTTGCCACATAGAAAGGCCACTGAAAAGTAGAAAGTAAGTCTTTATGAGTGTTGTCTATATATAGATTCTTACATTGATACCAGTGGATTATCGGATTTATCCAATAGAGATCCGATAATCCTAGAGTAATTATGTAAGCATCTTTTTCTCTAATGATTATCAAAAAGTTTTCATTTTTGATCAACTAAAATCCCCTTCATGTGCCTTTTACATTCCAAAAAGTTGTCAATTTCACCTGTTAGCATATTTTAATTCATCCAGCTAGCTGATAAAGGTTAAAACCCTTCAACTCATCCAATCATCTTCTGAGATCATCGGCAACCACATGTTGATTAAATATTTTTATGCAATTAGTCCGGAAAGAGTTAAATTGCCAAAGTATTAGAGAAATATATTTTCACAAAGATGTCTTTGAGTATAATTGAATACCCTGCATTTATTATGCTTACAGTTATTGAATGTTGAATTGCATGCAAGTACTGAAAAACTCATTTGCACATTTATAAAGACACTTATTGAAAAGACGGGTTTTATTTATTAAATTTGGTTTTAGTATTTCAATTCAATTCAATATTTTATTTATAATTTGTAATAGACCTTATCACAATTACTTATCCACTAAATCAAATTTAATCTTTTTCCAATAAATTTATATTTTTTATTTGAATTTGATCACGTTTTATTTTTTGTAGATGATGTCATAACACAAATATCTTTTTATTGTCTCAAAGAATATGAATGCTTTTGCTTCTTTCTCTTTAAACATGTCATACATGTTTTTTTAGCTCAGGTTAAAATGCATACTATATATTAACTATTCACCAAAATCCTCAATTTCTTTTGTTGTAGTGAAAGAATTTATAGGTGCAAAGAAGAATTTATGAAACAAGTAAAGAGTCTTGATATTAAAGTAAGACATGTTACTGTAGATCAATATGTATTTCTACTTCTCAAATCTGTTCAAATTATTAAAAGAACAAGAAGAATTTAAAGTCCCTTAAGAATGAATATTTTGCAACTATGTTATCTGAAAAGTAATTATGAAATGATTTAAGGACAAAATCAGCGCATATACATATATGAGTTTGAATTTGAATTATTCCCTAGTTTTCTCTAGTTGAAATTTCAATTTATCATCACTGTGTTATTTCCATTTATAAAAAAAAAACAAGAACACAGATTTAATGAATGGTAAATATGACTTATGTCTGATGTATTCATCCCAAGTACTTTATGTTTGCTAGCATAATTGAATCAAATTAAAATTAAGTAGGTACCTGAATTGGAAATAAGAAATCTCATCATTTTTTACATTATAAATCAGCATGACTGAGAAAGGAAAAGTACATGTCGAATTTTCTGTACCTATTTTCCAGTATTAAGTTTCTTTTAGTTTTAACAAAGATCTTAAATCATTTAATGAAAGTTATCAGAAAGACACAGAGTATAAAGGCCAATACAGTTAGCCTTTAATCTATTCCAGGGGCAATACAGAAACAGCCAGTTAATTACACTTTATTATTACATTTCTTCTGTAGATATAAATAGAAATTGATGTAAAACTTATTGTATATTAATTTACTTTTTTCTAAAGAAATTGGTATCAGATATTTCTTGTGGAAAACTTAATTCTGCACGGTGGCAAACCATGATTGGAACAAACCCCAAAGTAAAACAGATGTGGAAAGATGAAAATAACATGGTTCTAACATTGACTGGGGCACCTTCAGTGAGTCTTTCAATTTTAAAGAACATGATCTAACAATCATATATATATATATAAATAGTACTAGGTAATTATTCTTGAGGTAAAAAACATAATATAACTGAAAGTATACTACTTTTTTTAACATTATTCCTGCTTGATTTATTATCATCAAAACTGGTTACTATTTTAATTGTTCACAAATTAATTTTAGCTGAAAAATTTAATTCATACAATGTTATTCGTAAAGCAAATGCTTTTTTCCTTGGTAGGGGTCATATGTATGTGTTTAGTGTAAAGTACATGTTGCATATGTATGTGTTGAGTGAAAATAATAACCATTCATATGTTAAGTTAACCATTATCAAATAAATGAGTAACAGTATAAATTTGTTTGAAGTCAACATGTACTGTATCAAAGCTAAAGTAAAAATGGCTTATTTTTTTTCAGGAAATAACAAATTATGTAATCCAGCAAACTGATTCCAAGTCATTAAGTGCAAAAGGATTTGTTATGGATGTCTTTGCACCAGAGGTTGGTTATACTTGATACATTACTATTATTTTATTTTGTGGAATGGTATTAACATCTGTCATCTCCTATAACAGTGCTTTCATAGTATCGATAGGTCACTCTATAACCAGGTGTTACTCATTACCAGCTATTGATGAAATTTTACAATAGAGTACAATGCTAATATAAAGATTAAATAAGCTATTACAATCACCTGGTGTCTGTCATAAACTTTAGATTAAATAGCAAAAATAATCATATATTTAAAATTTTAAGAATAAATCTTTTTTTTTCTTGCAGGCAGTGGTAAAAGTAGTTATGATGGTAGAAAACATCAACAGAATGCGTGCAGAATTATTCCTTCTAAAAGATATAAGTGCTAGTCATGATTGTAGTAACCACTCAAAGATATGAAGGCCTCATTATGTCATTGTATTTCAATAGGTTTACAGTTTGTGACTTAAATGAATTGGTAATGACAGAGTATTTCAATAGGTTTACAGTTTGTGACTAAAATGAGCCAGTAATGACAGAGTATTTCAATAGGTTTACAGTTTGTGACTAAAATGAGTCAGTAATGACAAAGTATTTCAATAGGTTTAAAATGAGTCAGTAATGACAGAGTATTTCAATAGGTTTACTGATTGTGACTAAAATGAGCCAGTAATGACAGAGTATTTCAATAGGTTTACAGTTTGTGACTAAAATGAGTCAGTAATGACAGAGTATTTCAATAAGTTTACAGTTTGTGACTAAAATGAGTCAGTAATGACAGAGTATTTCAATAGGTTTACAGTTTGTGACTAAAATGAGTCAGTAATGACAGAGTATTTCAATAAGTTTACAGTTTGTGACTAAAATGAGTCAGTAATGACAGAGTATTTCAATAGGTTTACAGTTTTTGACTAAAATGAGTCAGTAATGACAGAGTATTTCAATAGGTTTACTGATTGTGACTAAAATGAGCCAGTAATGACAAGAGTATTTCAATAAGTTTACAGTTTGTGACTAAAATGAGCCAGTAATGACAGAGTATTTCAATAAGTTTACTATTTGTGACTAAAATGAGTAAGTAATGACAGAGTATTTCAATAGGTTTACAGTTTGTGACCAAAATGAATTGGTAATGACAGACTATTTCAATAGGTTTACTATTTGTGACTAAAATGAGTCAGTAATGACAGAGTATTTCAATAGGTTTACAGATTGTGACTAAAATGAGCCAGTAATTACATTTTATTTCAATAGATGTACAGTTCGTGACTAAAATCAGCCAGTAATGACAGAGTATTTCAATAGGTTTACAGTTTGTGACTAAAATGAGCCAGTAATGACAGAGTATTTCAATAGGTTTACAGTTTGTGACTAAAATGAGTCAGTAATGACAGAGTATTTCAATAGGTTTACAGTTTGTGACTAAAATGAGTCAGTAATGACAGAGTATTTCAATAGGTTTACAGTTTGTGACTAAAATGAGTCAGTAATGACAGAGTATTTCAATAGGTTTACTGATTGTGACTAAAATGAGTCAGTAATGGCATAGTATTTCAATAGGTTTACAGTTTGTGACTAAAATGAGCCAGTAATGACATTTTATTTCAATAGATGTACAGTTCGTGACTAAAATGAGCCAGTAATGACAGGGGATTTTAATAGGTTTACTAATTGTGACTAAAATAAGCCAGTAAGGACAGCGTTCTTCAATAGGTTTACAGTTTGTGACCAAGATAAATTGGTAATGACAGAGTATTTCAATAGGATTTCTGTTTGCGACTAAAATGAGTTTGTTATGACAGAGTATTTCAATAGGTTTACTATTTGTGACTAAAATGAGCCAGTAATTACATTTTATTTCAATAGATGTACAGTTCGTGACTTAAATGAGCCAGTAATGACAGGGGATTTCAATAGGTTTACTGATTGTGACTAAAATATGCCAGTAAGGACAGAGTTTTTTAATAGGTTTATAGTTTATGACCAAGATCAATTGGTAATGACAGATTATTTCAAAAGGATTTCTGTTTGCTACTAAAATGAGTTAGTTATGACAGAGTATTTCAATAGGTTTACAGTTTGTGACCAAAATGAATTGGTAATGACAGAGTATTTCAATATGTTTACTATTTGTGACTAAAATGAGTCAATAATGACAGAGTATTTCAATAGGTTTACACTTTTTGACTAACATGAGCCAGTAATGACAGAGTATTTCAATAGGTTTACTGATTGTGACTAAAATGAGTCGGTAATGACAGAGTAGTTCAATAGGTTTACTATTTGTGACTAACATGAGTCAGTAATGACAGAGTATTTCAATAGGTTCACAGTTTGTGACTAAAATAAGCCAATAATGACAGGGTATTTTAATAGGTTTACTGATTGTGACTAAAATGAGTCAATTGTGAAGGAATATTTCAATAGGTTTACTGTTGGTGACTGAAATGAGTTAGTAAAGACAGAGTATTTCATTAGGTTTACAGTTTGTGACCGAAATGAGCCAGTAATGATATATATGAGTATTTTAATAGATGTACAGTTTGTGACTAAAATGAGCCAGTAATGGCATTATTTTTCAATAGGTTTACTGATTAAGACTGCAATGATGTATTTTCACATGAAAAGGTTTACACTATGGTTCTGAAATGAGTCAATGATGACACTATGTATCAAAAGTTTTAGAGTGTGACTGCTTTGTATATTAACGGGATAACCTAATATGACCAACATGAGTCTGTGGTGATATTGTATATCAATAAGTTTAGAAGTTAAACATTAAAATGAGTTGATGAAGACATTATTGTAAATTCAGAAAATATTGGGAGGTTTTTATTAATGCAAAAAAATATGACTGGTTGAGTATCACAAAAACAAGAACTCACATTCTGATATTTCATCAGTATTTCTATCTGAAATGACTGAATTGAGTCAATGATGACACTATATATCAAAAAGTTTACTCTTTGTGACTGAAATTAGTCAATGGTGAACCCCGATCATGCTGGTGCTTGACTCTCTTAAAAGACTAGGATTGTTAGTTTTCCTACAAAAGGATGGTGGTTATAGTACAGATATGTTCAGTATAGATAATCTGTTAAAAATATTTGATGGTTATTGTATATAATCTGTATAATTATTGTTTTAACACAAATACTTGCATATATGGCTCTAGTCTGATTGTAGCTTTAGATCGCAAGAGAAGGTGATTATAGTGTTTATATGATTGTCAAAATTATTTTTTGTCACCCAATTATAAAATTCATTGTATTAAATTACTTTGCTCAATATCAGCCCCTTATTTCAGAATAAAAAATCAAATTGTGATTCACCTGCTTATTTGGTGTATTTTATTTCATATAATCTATCATGTTTATTGCTGATATGTTCATAACTAATTATAATTGTTGACTGTTAATGCCACTTGAGGGACCTTGATTGATATAATAAATATTTGATTTATTTTATATATTGTGCATGTTTTCTTATTTATTTTGGAATACAATTTGTGGCAACCTGTGGGATTCCTATTCATCTATATATTGACAAGTGTGTCATTGTCATGTCAAAGATGGAACCATTTTACATAAAATTTACTCATTTCTTTTTATAATTTAAAATCGACCAAAACTTCAGGATTTGATTGATCCTTACGTCATGTGGGTATAATTTACTGTATATTTTTCCCTTGGCTCAGTGCCTATTTTGTTTCTTGTATTTAATTCTATAGAAATGCTATCTTTACTCCATCCTTTTTTTGGTTCTTCATATGTCCTATCAAACATTTGGTCCAAGGACACAGTTATCGTCCTTAGGTTTTCATTGTCTACGAATATAGTCCCTAGTGTGAACAGTGTATTAATTTATTTCTTGATATTTTATGCATGAAATATTAAGTAAGGGGATGAAATTACATGTTAAAAAAATTTGGGTGCTGAATCTTTATGTTAAGTAGTGGTTGGTCCAGTTAAAAAAGGTCAATAATTAGAATGTCTGAAGCTGTCAAACTGAATTTTAGCCCCCCTTAACACAGAATTGTCAATATTTTGAGTTAAGAGCTGGTAGAACTTTCTATAATTTTGATATTATTTGTATCAATAGTAGTACACTACGGGCCTAAGAGTTTGTTCTACCCCTTCCTTTTAATCAAGGTTAATTTCATTCAATAGATGCATTTGAGCTTTTGATTTTGCAATTTTATAAAGGACTTTTGTTTTTTATACGCCCGTTTACAGGATGTATTATGGTATACCATTGTCCGTCTGTCCGTCCGTCTATCTGTCCGTCCATCATCAACATGTTTGACATTAACTCTTTAACGCTTTAACTAATTTGCATGAAACTTTGGTGAATTGTTTATATCTATTCACATGAGCTCCCTTTCGTTTTTTATAAATTTGAGATTTTACGTTTCCCAGTTTTGGGGGTTTATTCATTAAAATAGTGGGATTTTCCAAGTTTTAGATATTACTTATACTTTTACTTCATAAAAAAGGGTGGATTTTCCAGATTTCGGACGATAACTCAAAAATGCTTTCAGCAGTTCTCATGAAACTTTGGTAAATTGTTTATATCAGTTGTCTTTCGCTCCCTTTTGATTTTTATATATTTTCTATTTTAAGTTTCTGAGTTAAGGAATTTCATTCATAAAAAAGGGGTGATTTTCCAGTTTTAGACAATATCTTTAAAGGGCTTTGGGCAGTTTTCATTAAAGTTTGTGACTGATTTATATCTATTAAGATAACCTCCCTTTAGTTTTTCGTAAATTTCTGATATGACATTGAGAAGTTATGGAACTTTATTCTTTGAAAACAGGACGGGCGTATCATTGCACATCTGTTTATTGAGTTTTCCTTGCAGTTCCATATATTTGTTATTTTATTGTTTGATACATATAACTGGATTCCTCTACCTTTACTCTTTTGTTTTCTCATATACTAATGATTTAACAGAAAGTAAAATAACAAAAATACTGAACTCCAAGGAAAATTCAAAAAGGAAAGTCCCTAATCAAATGGCAAATTAAAAAGCTCAAACACATCAAACGAATGGATAACAACTGTCATATTCCTGACTTGGTACAGGAATTTTCTTATGTAGAAAATGGTGGGTTAAACCTGGTTTTATAGCTAGCTAAACATCTCACTTGTAGGACAGTCACATAAAATTCCATTAAATTTACAAAGATATGTGAACAAAACAAACAGACATAATAGGTGAAATGTCAAAATAGGGGTACAGCAGTCAACATTCTGTTAAAATCTTTTTTACTATAAAATCAAAACATTATGTAACAAAGAAACACGAAAAGGCACATACACAAAGCACATTAGCAAAAATGAAAGACAAAAATACAAAAATTTAACATAGCACAATAACACAATGACAGGATGTATAAATAAAATGACATTGCAAAAAATTGACTAAACAGTAAAAATTAATATTCACAAAGACAAAGAAAATAATACTATAAAACGTTGTTAAGATGATAAACAACGTCAGTACCTAGAATCTACACTTTTCAGTTTTCAGTTTCAACCTATCATGTTCATGTAGAGTTCGGGATTCGATTCTTGAACGGGTCAGACCAAAGATAAAAATTTTGAATAAAATATGCCACTTGTTTGCAAAACAATGAAAAGCGAATTTGTGTAGTTCAGTCATAATAACGTGTTTTGTTAGCATGAGAGGTCCTCATGTGTATTAACACGCAAAAATTGAAAATGCGGTTATATCATGGTCAAGTACAATGTAGACATCATGTACATACACCTGTTGTCCTGAATTTGTGTGTAATACTCGCTGCTGGACGAGAAAATCAGTTCAAATGCTATAATGTCCTTATAATGCATATAAATTTCCTTCTACCCCAATCGACTAGAAGGATGTCTCCATTTCTCTGAAACTAGCCTGCCTGAAACCCTTTCACACGAAGCTGCATATGTCTACCTTTGCTCCATCCCTTCGATATGAAGTTGATATGTTGTATAGTATACATTTACCATTTGCCCCCAATCCCTTCTGTTGAGGAGAATGTATCATCTGTACTTATCTGATTTGCATGATACATCTTATCGATCATCTGCTTTTGCTACACCCCTTGAAATTATATTCTTATATACCCATCTACGTTTGCTCGTTGCATTAAAAAATGTAATTAGTCTAATGGATACTTTATACTTGGTCCCCTTCACGTAACAGATATAAATGATCCGTTATGTGCATATTCCTTAAATCCATGTTATATTAAACATATTTCCCTCGATAGGTTTATATATGTTCAGGTATATCAGTACTCTATACCCTGAAGAGAACTTTGATTTTTCAATCTGTATAACTATCTAAATTTCTTGTACTCCCTTAATGAGTTGTCGAATTGCCTTACTTTATTTATATATATTTGCTCAATCCTCTTCGCATGATGTGGGAATAGGCGACTCTGATTTGACAATCTTAATTACATTCCCTTTACGGGGCTTGGATATAACTTACTGTATACATCTGCCTTTACTCCATCCCTTTTTTTTGGTTGATACATATAACTAGAAAACCACTACCTTTATTCTTTGGTTTTCACTAGTACAAATGATGTAACAGTTTCAACCCATCATGTTCATGTAGAGTTCGGGGCTCGATTCATGAACGGGTCAGACCAAAAATAAAGATTTTGTATAAAATATGCCACTTGTTGGCAAAACAATGAAAAACAAATTTCGGTAGTACAGTCATGAAAAACGTGTTTTGTTAGCGTGAGAGGTCCTCATGTGTATAAACCTCTAAAAAATACAAGTCCGGGTATATCATGGTCTAGTACAATGCAGACTTCATATACACACATCTGTTGTCCTTAATGTGTATGTAATACTCGCTGCTGGACGTGAAAATCAGTTCAATGCTATAATGTCCTTATAATGCACTTTTACAAATTGTGACTTGGATGGAGAGTTGTCTCATTGGCACTCATACCACATTTTCTTATATCTATATCAATTTCCTTCTACTCTAATCGACTAGAAGGATATCTCCATTTCTCTGAAACTAGCCTGCCTGAAACCCTTTCACATGAAGCTGCATTAGTCTACCTTTGCTCCATCCCTTCGATATATAGTTGATATGTTGTATAGTATACATTTACCATTTGCCCCCAATCCCTTCGCTTGAGGAGAATGTTTCATTTGTACTTATCTGATTTACATGATACATCTTATCGATCATCTGCTTTTGCTACATCCCTTGAAATTATATTCTTATATACCCATCTACGTTTGCTCTTTGCATTAAAAAAATGTAATTAGTCTCATGGATATATCTTTACTTGGTCCCCTTCACGTAACAGATATAAATGATCCGTTATGCACATATACCTTAGATGCATGTTATATTAAACATATTTCCATCGCTAGGTTTATATATGTTCATGTATATCTGTACTCTATCCCCTGAAGAGAACTTTGATTTTTCAATCTGTATATGTATCTTAATTTGCTGTACTCCCTTAATGAGCTGTTAAATTGCTTTACTTTATTTATATATATTTGCTCAATCCTCTTCGAATGATGTGGGAATAGGCGACTCTGATTTGACAATCTTAATAACATTCCCTTTACGGGGCTTGGATATAACTTACTGTATACATCTGCCTTTACTCCATCCCTTTTTTTGGGTGATATATATAACTGGAAAACCACTACCTTTATTCTTTGGTTTTCACTAGTACAAATGATGTAACAGTTTCAACCCATCATGTTCATGTAGAGTTCGGGGCTCGATTCATGAACGGGTCAGACCAAAAATAAAGATTTTGTATAAAATATGCCACTTGTTGGCAAAACAATAAAAAGCAAATTTCGGTGGTACAGTCATGAAAAACGTGTTTTGTTAGCGTGAGAGGTCCTCATGTGTATAAACCTCACAAAAAATACAAGTGCGGATATATCATGGTCTAGTACAATGCAGACTTCATATACACACATCTGTTGTCCTTAATGTGTATGTAATACTCGCTGCTGGACGTGAAAATCAGTTCAAATGCTATAATGTCCTTATAATGCACTTTTACAAATTGTGACTTGGATGCAGAGTTGTCTCATTGGCACTCATACCACATTTTCTTATATCTATATCAATTTCCTTCTACTCTAATCGACTAGAAGGATATCTCAATTTCTCTGAAACTAGCCTGCCTGAAACCCTTTCACATGAAGCTGCATTAGTCTACCTTTGCTCCATCCCTTCGATATATAGTTGATATGTTGTATAGTATACATTTACCATTTGCCCCCAATCCCTTCGCTTGAGGAGAATGTTTCATTTGTACTTATCTGATTTACATGATACATCTTATCGATCATCTGCTTTTGCTACATCCCTTGAAATTATATTCTTATATACCCATCTACGTTTGCTCTTTGCATTAAAAAAATGTAGTTAGTCTAATGGATATATCTTTACTTGGTCCCCTTCACGTAACAGAT